ACCATATCGGTCGCCCCAAAGTCGGTAGATTAAGTGCGGAAAATATCGAGCGTGTTCAATGAGAAAACACGCTACCGCCCTAACTTAATCAAAATCTACCGTTCACACTATCTTAAAGAAGAACCTGAAGTTTTATCCTTAAAAAATTCGAATTGTGCGAGCATTAAAAGTGGAAGCATTTGCACCCCAGATAACACAGGATATCCTATGGATATCCTTCTCAAGTCCATTTCAGGTCGGGATATCCTGGGACATGAAATGGATATCCATAGGATATCCGTCAGAGGATATCAAATGGATATTCTGATGCGGATCACCTATGGACGTCCATAAGATGTTCGTTTAGCGAACAAAAATTGTTAATTGAGAATGGTTCAAAACAATACGAATCATCACAAATATCACATGCAAATCACATGTTTATTAGAAATTCAAAGGTAGTTTACCATCAGCATATAACTATTGTTATGTAGGTATAATATGTTTATAGCCACAATTAAGATATCTGATGCAAATATGAATTCATATAAATAACAACACCACAGTTTGGAATTTTTCTCTGTTGTTCAATGTTTTCGTACAAAAATATACAATCACTCGAAAATAGCTCTCATATATTTACTTTTTTGTGGTCTTCAGATGGACATCCATGAGATATTCATCCATGGATTTATAGCGGATATCCATCAGAAGATATCTTATGGATAGCCATAAGATATCCAAAGAAAACATGAAATCATATTTATGTCAAAATAACTTTTGTTCTTCAACATTTTCGCACAAAAATATGATTTTTCAGAAATAACTTGTATCTCCATTTTTTTTCTTGGGATTGAGATGGAGATCCATAAGAAGATATATTCGCATCCCTGAATTCAAAACTGGGTAGGTATTTTCCCAATGGATAGTAATAAAATATTCTGAAGCAATAAAATATAAATCAATATGGCATTCGCGTGAATGATAAATTTTCCAAAAGAAAGATGGAAAAATCTAAGTGAATCTAATTCTTGAATTCACCTTAACAGCATTTCGGAAAATAGCTTCATTGTTGCGATAGGGATAACGCGATTCAAATCTGGCCACCTCGCCTCCTCTATTTATCTCTCAAAAGATTGAATTCAATTCGAATTAACCTCCATGGCTAGAATCGTTCTGATTGGTCTAAAAATGCATCCATGTCGAAAGTCATGGTAAATTGAATTCTTTCATGAGGTAGTAAAACGTCAATTGGGGTCATGAATTATAGTTCATTTTATATTATTCGACATATCTACTTGCTTTACCGCACTTTTGGTTTAACCGAGGATGGCATTTTCAAACGGGACACCCTGTATTTTATTCCATAATCGGTTGAGGATTATCATAACGAATTCAACGATACTGTGTTTGATAGGATTTCTACAAACGATTAGAAAGATATTCACATTTCCATATCCTCAATGAGCATAATATGAAAACTTCGAATGCCATATCTTCGTAATCGTTTGAAATAACCCTATCCAATCCGGTACCGTTGAATTCGTTATAATAGTTCCTAATTCATTATGGAATAATATACATGGTGTTCTATATTGTTAAGGATATTTAGTAAATATCCCTGAAAAATATCTCATGGATATTTGTGAACAATATCTTATGGATATCCCTAAAAAATGTCTTATGGATATTTGTGAACAATATCTTATGGATATCCCTGAAAAATGTCTTATGGATGTCCCTGAAGGATATCCTATAGAAGTCCAACTCCTTCCACTCGGCACGTCCATTGGACGTCCATAAGATATACATCGGATATCACTGGATATTCTCTGGATATCCCAAATATCCTAAATGGACGTCCAATGGATGTCCATCGAATGTCCGTGTGTTGACTGGGACAGCACGTGTTATAGAACTTCGACACCTTCGATAACATTCTGTTAAGTGACGAGGCTCACTTTCACCTAAACGGGACCGTAAATGAACAGAATTGCGTATATTGGGGTGATAAAAAACCAAGGGAAAATATCAGCAACCTCTACATAGTCCCAAAATGACAGTGTGGGCAGCAGTGTCTGCACATGGAATCATTGATCCTTTTTTTATTAAAGAAGCACATCTTTTCACTGTCATCGTTAACTCTGACCGTTAATGCTGGAAAATTTTCTTGAACCAGAATTGCAAAATGTCGGTGGCTTCAACCAAAACACTTGGTTTCAGCAAGATGGGGCAACTGCTCACACCATGCACGAATCTTTAAATGCAGGTCGTTCGAAGGATGTTTCCAGGAAAGGTCATATCGAAAAATGGCGACATCAATTATCCTCCCAGGAGTCCCGACTTGATTATCATGGATTTTTTTGTGGGGTTTCTTGAAATCAATGGTGCACACGGAAATTCCTACTAATCTGAATCAGTTGAAGCAAAGAATTCGCGATGAAACTCGAGCAATTCCACAAAAACTCTATGTCCGCGTGTTTGCCAACTTCAGAGAATGTTTGGAGGAGACGATGCACGTGGGAGGACATAGCATCTCGACGGCATGATTTTTCACAAATGAATTTCCACATTTTGTAGTTAATTTCATGAATAAAAATGCTTACTACAATTTGAACTAAATGAGTTATGATTTTTTGAAATAGTAAAAACTGTATAATACCTACTTTGCATCAGCGTTTGTAATAATAATGATAAGAACTGCAAGCGAAGTGTGAACAGATCACGGGTCGCAAGCACATACGACCAGTGGAGTAACCCACCGGCTCACTCTATACCGCTGAATTAATATTTATCTGGGCTATACGATCGAGCTATAAGCGCTCCTTCGAACAACGACTTCCCTACCCTTCGATCATATAACAGACGCAGCAGGAATGGCAAAACAGTTATTGTGGTAGCCACAGACTACGCCACAAGGTGGGCAGAAACCAGGCAGAAACGGCGCAGCACTTCCTTCATATACTGAAAAAATAATTACCAATTCTCCTCGAATTTCGCTGAGCGATACAGGCCAAACTTTTCGCCCAGGCTTAGTTCCTGCAAGGCTTAATGAAACCTAGGCTAATATGCTGTAAATTTTCACCAATACGGAGCAAGCAGGTTGGGATAAATATCTTCCTCATGTTAAGTGGGCATACAAAAGATCGAGACAGGACAGTACAAAATAATCACCGCGTTATGTTGGTCTACGGAAGAGGGCCTGTACTCCCTACCGAAGCCAGTGTAATGGAGCCTACAACCTTGCTGGACGCAGAATAAATTCAAGAACAGGTTTATAGCGGTCAGGTTAGGTTAGCGGTTCAAAATATTGGTGATAGGCAGAAGGAAGATAAGAAAACGTTTGACTTAAGCATATATAGGCTCCTGGAGGTGAGGTGAAGGTAATTACTACAAGCAAGATAGTAGGCATATCATAAAAACTACTATTGAGGTGGCACAGCCCTTACTACGTTCTGAGAAAAATCGGCGAAGTGGACTAAAGATCCACAAAGGTCCTACCCGGCAGAGTAAAAAGGAAGTGATTGACGTAGGGCGGATACTCCCCTAAAATGATCCCTGGACACCGCCAGCTTAGGTATCGAAAGACGATGATGATTAGATTAGATTATAGGTTATTTGGCTGATAACTTTTTTAGGTTTACCATCCTCGTAGCAGCTACTTGTCATGCTCTTCCGCAGCCTTTGGAGGTACCGGCAGGTGCCTTTTGCATGGAAAGCATTATATCACCAGCCATCGTGACGACCTACGAAGCTACAATACTTCTAATTCATGAGGCAACCTGGCTGGTATATCACCTAGTGTATGCAATGACGACGGGGGATGTACAATGTAAAGCCCTCTTAATCAGCGAAGTAAATTAGATGGAGCTTCTTCTCAAACGGAGTTTATATCCCTGGAGTGGTCCTGAAGTACTAATCTCTTACCAGAAATCTAGTAATTCAGAGAAATCTCTCTCGTGTAAAAAAAGAGCTTTAGATTTTCTTAGTGAAGGATTGTCTTGGTGCTGTGGGGTGGCCACACAACATAAGTTTGCCGCAATGGCGGTTGACGAAGGAAATTTAAACGATCAGGTTTTCAAACTCAATAAAGGACTCTCTTGAAAAGGAATCCTTGAAAAGGAATATTCTTAGAATCCTGTTTTGGGTTTTCTCAATTCAGAATTTCTTTCCACGACCTTAATGATGATCAATTCATCATATTATACTACCAATGTAAGTTCTTTCTTCATTCTATAATTTCGAAGTATCGCCGTGTTTTTTTTTAATTCTGATTTCTAAAGTGCTTTTCCGAACTAGACAAGCCCAGTTAGCACATCCTTTCGTCGTTAACCTCGAAAGATGTCGAACAGCACTTTATCAAAACTCCTTCATCCATAGAACGGCTAGGCTCTGGAATTCATTGCCTGAGGAAGTATTCCCAACAACATATAATCTCTAGAAGTTCAGAAGTTCAAAAAAAATTCCAATACCTACCTCCTATCCCTATCCTCCCTAGGAACGCACGATGTTCTTTGAACATTATAGGGATTCCCTTTCGTGAGCTCCAAGCGATAAAAAAAAACATACTTTTTCGGAAGGAGGGTCATATAAGACAAGTAAGGTTAGAATGTTTCTTATGCAGAAAGGAATATCTTCCTTCCTCCCCGAAAAAAGTACTACACTGTTGTGGCCGATAGTGATTCGCTATTTCAATGATGTTTCTGTTTTCAGGATCAGTCATGATGTAAAAACATTCGTTATTCGAATTTACCGTAAATCAGAGTCACTGGATGGTATAAGCACAGTTTAAGGAATGGGTATTTCCTTAAACTGTGGTATAAGTTTGATAACCGTAAACAACAGTGATTTGATTTTACCGCCATTGCCAAAATCGCTTTGATTGGTCTCCTATGCATATGTTTGGGCAAATGGGATTTATGCAAATTAAGAGGCCACCTTTCTTGTGTTGTTTTCACAGAACGGTAGAAGAGTTCTGTAGCTGTGGTGTTTGTCTGGTGTTGTTATGATTCATTCATCGGGGAACTCGTGGACTCATCTCAAGATTCTCAAGGACCTCAAATAGGTCGCGTGTACGAAGACCGACCCTGGAGGCAAAATATTGAAACACAACCTCATTCTTCTGTGAATTATTGAAACACAGCCTCACTTTTTTATTTGGTTACAGAGGAATCAAAAGGTTGAAATAGTTTTTCACAATATTTTGGCATACGAATCGTGTTTCTTGCGTTATTCATTAATTCAAGCATGCCTTCGCATTGTGCTGTTGTACCAGGTGATTCAATAAGGGTAACCGAGAAGCTGTATCTCAGGAACTAATAATTTGCTAACAAAATGTATGGTTCGAGAAAGGAAGGTTTGGTGAATATAATAAGAATAGAAGAAGAATAAGAAGATCCATACATACCATTCTGGTTCTTACCGCCCTCGCTAGGAGGCGTGTTTAATAAACTATTAGTTCCTGAGATACTCTACCTCGTCACCGTTATTGAATCACCTGTGTACAATGCACTAAAAATGCAGCAAGAGACTAGGGAATATGATTTTTCAGATAAATAGTAATCTCACATAGTTAGCATTATGAAATGTTGTCATTCCTTATTAAAATTCCTTCTGCCTTCTGCCACTTCTGGGTAAAAGTGCACTTATCATGCGATGGGGTTTTTTTCGAAAAATTTTTTTGGTACTTATGTATTTTCGTCTGAAAAACACGAATTTCATAATGAAAATGTGAACAAACCACTATTTATGGAGATATTCCACTATAAAGTTACAATTTCACCATCTTTTCCGCCTGTCTTCTGGATCACATTTAGAACAATTTGCCCTTCTTTTTCCATCATTGGACAATTTATATATATCACACAATGTTGGACACATTTTTTTTATTATATGAGTCAACTAGAAATATGATTTTCTTGTGATTTATCCATGTTTAGTGAAAAGAAGGAAGAATATCATTTGAAATAATGGCGTGTGTAATGTCATTCCAAAGCAATCTATTGACATTTGACATCTCGTATTTGAATTGCATATGGATTGAATGGCCGTCATCTGGTATGCTTGCTCACTAAATAGGAAAAACTCGCCATAAAAATCATATTTCCTGTTGAATTTTCTATCTTAAAATGTGTCAGTGAAGTACATCATGAGTATATAAAGTGTCCAATGACAAAATAATAAGAGCAAGTACCTGTAAATGCATCCAACACAAGGGGGAAGAGAAGGCAAAATTTCGAACTTTTTCTTGAAATATCTCGATAAATAGTGGTTTGTTCACATTTTCATTATGAAATTCGTGTTTTTCAGACGAAAATACGTAAGTACCAAAAGAAATTTTCGAAAAAAACCCCATTGCATGATAAGTGCACTTTTACCCACTTCTGCAATACAAGCTAATGCTGCTAATAGATTGAAAATGTCTACAACACACACGATCGTCAGCATGTCAGACCAGTCCTACCGATTGATTGCACATGAATCCAATCTCCTTCATTATTCTAGAAATTTCAGGTATATTTATATTAGCTGATCCTATTGCAGAAGGAATTCCGATGAGAAATCAGAGAAATAACCAAATTTCAAAAATGAAAACTATGTGAGTGACTATATTAGGTACTTACTTTTGAATCATAATGTACCATCCGGATTTCTTCATCTTCCGCTGCAGTTTTTGTGCATTTTACAACAGCACAATGTGATGGCATTAGCGAATTGATGAATAGCGGAAAAATACGATTCATATGCCAAAATAATTGTGGAAAACTATTTCGATCACTTGTTTTTGCCTCCAGGGTCGGTCATCTGACAGTTCTTGCACGCGACCTGTCCTCGAGTCAAGAGCAATGTCAAGCTTGTGTCAATAGCCTAACCTAGTAACCTGACATTGACAGTTTGTTTATTTACAAAAAAATTATCTTTTGAAACTGATAATATGATTTCCGAAAAACATCTCAAAAAAGTTATTTTGGCAGCAGATGTATATGCAATATGTGTTCAACATGCCCTCACAACCGAAAAACAAGAAATTATGGGATTACTTCTAGGAGAGGTAATAATTATAAAAAATTTATAATTTTTGTCATAATCATTGTAACCGTCTCAGGTTGATGAGGTGGAATGTATATCTCACATAACAGCATGTGTAATTCTGCATCGAAGTGACAAACAGCCTGATAGAGTAGAAATATCTCCAGAACAACTGTGTACAGCTTCTGTGCATGCAGAACAGTTACAAGCAAAGTTAGACAGGCCAATGAGAGTAATTGGATGGTACCATTCACATCCCCATATAACAGTATGGCCAAGCCACGTTGGTAGAATGACTTTTATGTGTTGCTTGCTTATATAATACACCACATCCTTTGTAGACATAGGAACACAGGGAATGTACCAGACAATGGAGCCTCTCTTTGTTGGTCTCATTTTCTCAGTTTTCCAGAATGATTCTAGATTGAGAACAAATCAAATTCAGGTAACATGTTTTCAAGCAAGCAGAGGGGTCTCACAACTCGAAAGAAGAGAAGTTGAACTTGTAATTCAAAGTTCTCCATTACAAAATTACAATTTAGAAGGTGAGCTAATATCCCCAGCATCCTCTATATGCATTCTGTCATTGAGATTGTTATAGGTATTGCTGATCTTCCTAGAATTCTTATTCAAGAAGAAGTGGATTGTCATGATGATAAAGATAACAACACACAAGATGAATTGGCCAGTCTTCACAATGATTCTTTTAAAACGCTGGCCATGGTTCACATAGTATCAAAAGTAGTAAGACCACTATGTGATGATTTGGGAGAGAGAATGACAACTGTGAATCAGAGAATAAAATCTCTGGAAAAAATGATAAAACAGTTGCAAGAAAACTCTGATGATTAGGTTATAATTACTATATTAAAATAAATTAAACATTTTACATTGATTTGTTATTTTTGTTCTGTTCATTCCATCATAGCAGTTACAGAAAGAATTGTTAGTTTCTATCTCCAGACAGCACTGAAAAATGTAGCTTTTCTACTAGAAGAATATCAAAATAATGCAGCAAATCAGTTATTATTCCATGAGTTATTTATACATCAAATTCCTTCAATTCTTTGATAAGTTTGAGAGCATCGATAGATACATGTCATAGCATTGTAGATACTGTAGATAGGATTTAGGATTACAGCGATTGCATTTTGCAGTGACTGCAGATAGGATGAGACAAGTAATACCACCTAGTGGACGGGGTCGTACTTATGGTCTTCAGGCCGCAAAAAACTGTATAACAGTGATATCATTTGTAAACTACTCAATGTAGTCATATGTAGTCTGAACCTAACCTGACATCTAACTCCTGGCTTAGATTGAAAGACATGTTTTCCCGTAGTTTTTATGTCATCGCAACGTCTGAAATCTCAAAATAGAGTAAAAATAGAATAGAAATAGGTCTCGGATGCTCTTGGTAGACTTGCATTTGTGTTGCGTGAATCCATGAATAGTAAATTGAGTGGCGTCTCTTGCATCACGCATGAGCGTAGCCGTAGCTTAGCCCTAGCCTAGCCTGTCATTGTCTGTCAAGCCTGTTTTCAAGAAGTTTACAGTTAATACGCCTCGCGCATGCTCAGTTGTGAAACCACCTGTGTGAAGAAGTGTAAACTATTCGTGAAATGTAAACCCAATTTATTTAACCTACCTACCTCCTAGAGACACCTATCAGACGAAAGTCATTGACCATAGTTGAAATAAATATGTTGGATTTTTTACAGTTTTGTGTTAACGAAATTCCAGTCTGCAGCAGCAACCGTTTTATTTCAGTGCGTGTGATGTGATGTGAATGAACTCACAGTATGCTGGGAACCGTTTGTTTGAATTTTTGAGTCGCTATAATAATTTCTGTTTTGTTTTGAAGTTTCTGTGATAAAAAGAATGAGTGTCAACGGCGCAGAAGATAAATTGAAAAATAGAAAAATGCATGAACTTTTCATGCAGGTGTTGAAAAATAGGGATCTCTCCAGAGCCGGAGATCTTTTTTCTGTGCCGGATTCTGTTATTGTAAATGATATAACTAATGTGGTAAGATTGATATGGATTCTAGAATTATAAAATAGTCTTTTATATGTTCCACTCTCGGTTCTACCCTTGTTCTGTCCAATAAATTACTTACCACAGAATGTCCACAATTCAATAATATTTAGCAGTAAGTATATGCAACAGGTTAATTCACTGTTGCCAAATATGTGCCAATATCATTGATAAGATATTGGATATCATCAATATAAACATAACAAATTGGTCAATGTCAATGCAAAATGTAGTGCCCATTTCTAAAGAAAGAAAATCCAATGTATAATGGGTATCATGGTAATGAATATTTGAAATCAAGTCAAATGATATTCTTTGTAATGATTTCTAAGTAAAGGCAAGGTCTATTGTATTGTGTGTGTGTATATATATATATTTTGGTTTATTTGTAAAAATATTTTGGAGGGGGAAATCCCAACTGCCCAACTGCTGGTTGGTGAGAAATTCAAAAATAAAAATTATCAAAATACCTATATAAGATTACTTCAAAACATAAATATGTTCAAAAATCCTAACAGCAGTAGACTAAGCAGTAGAGCCTCTGGTAGAGTTGACTTCATATACAGGGTGTTATCATCAATATATGTATATATATCATAAAAAGCCTGCTCTATAGGTACTCAATTTGGTTGAAATTCTTCAGTAATAATTTCAGTATAGTGAGAGACTAGTTTAGCCATAATTGATGGATTCACAAAGAATGATTTTTTTCTAATTTGTCACTGTACTATGCATTTTTTACATATTTCATCTTAGAATCATCCAAAGAATCACCCTGTGAAGTTTGGCCACATAATTGAATAACACCCTGTATATATCCAGATAATTTACAAGTACCTGTTTTTTAGTTGAGAGAAATAACTGCCATTTCTTCCCTACCTGATTATGTGAATAATGACAATGATCAAAGTGTGGTAGAAATATGTGTGACAAGGGTTACATCCTGCATCAGAGAGACAGGAAGTCTAGAACAACATTGTGAAGCACTTGTCACCCTCCTGGAATCATGCCTGCATCACAATTTACAAATATCTGCAAGAGATGAAGATCCTCCACATGCCAAGATCTCCAGTGATATTATTTCTTGTATATTTTTGGTAACTAAAAAATATAAATATTCTTTCATCACCCCATTAGTAAGTTGTTGTTTTAGAATTATAGTATAAAATCAGTTATGCTAAGAGCTTTGCCAGTAGCAGTTAAGTTTTTACATAAAGGAAATAAAGAATTATCTAGAAATATGGCATCATATTTATCATTAGCTGCTATGGAACATGCATCTCTTCTAACACCACATGTTCAACCAATCATGGATTCTATAATTTCAGGTGAAAAACAGACTTGCAAATTTTTTTCTTTTCTGCCAATCATGCATTAAATAAAATTCATTACTATTTTCAGGGAATTATCCACTGTGCCGAGTTTTGCCAAACATCTATGAAGTGTCCCCAGAACCATTTCCAGGGCATGCTATGGCTTTGGTATCTCTCCTTCCTCACTGTGATAACCAAGAAAAACTGGCACTGCTGAACCTGTTTTCTTTAATGGCAAAAGATTATCCCTCTGTGAGTATAAATTAAGTCATGAAAATTGACCATAATTATAATAATACCCAGGAGTGGTCCAATACCAGAATCACAAAGAGTTTTTGAACCTATGTAATATCCCAGGTAATATCAACAAACTTGATAAACAGCAGAATATCTGATTGGTTTTATCCCATATGTTTATAATACATTGTCTGAAGATGGCCTATATATATGTAAGGCTGAAACTAGTTATTGAAAGGCTTTGATAATTTTTCAAAATACCCTCGAAAATTCCTACATTTGTAATGGTCCAGAATATGCAAACATTTGTATGGATACAAGATTTTTTTTTAAAGGAAAACAAAAGCAACACTGAAATTAAACTGTAACGTCTTAGGAAATATTTTTTATGTTGTTTCATAAGTCATCTTATTGAATAGCCTACATTATCAAAAATAACTACTAAGCAGCCACTAGCTTTACAATTTTTAAATCAAATCACAGAATTAAATTGACAGATATTTGATTACTTAAAGTATTTCCGTAGCAATGCAGGTTTAATACAATCAGTTCCAAAAAAAGTGATGCACTTGATATTTGGCCGATCTCCTTAAAAAAAAAAAATTGTCCGATTTTTTTTTTTATTTGTTGGTAGGTAATGCATTTGTCTTTAAAAAAATACTCTGGTAGGATCACATTGTCTTTAAAAAACAAATGCCGTTGCCATAGCAACTAATTTGTTGTATTCCTCCATATTTGACCATTTATCGTTGTGTCATTAATTAAGTGTCTTGTTTTATTGACTAAAATTACATAAAATGCCTCAAATAAATCCTGTAGCTATGGTAATTTTGCACTTATCATGTGATGGGTTTTTTTCTGAAATTTTTTTTTGGTACTTACGTATTTTTGTCTGAAAAACACGAATTTGATAATGAAAATGTGTACAAACCACTATTTATCAGGATATTTCACTATAAAGTTACAAATTTCACCTTCTTTTCCGCCTGTCTTTGGATCGCATTTAGAACAATTTGCCCTTGCTTTTCTATCATTGGACAATTTATATATATCACACGATGTTGGACACATTTTTTTTATTATATGAGTCAACTAGAAATATGATTTTCTTGTGAATTTACCCATGTTTAGTGAAAAGAAGGTAGAATATCATTTGAAATAATGGCGTGTGTAATGTCATTCCAAAGCAATCCATCGACAGCTGCATTGCCTATGGATTAAATGGCCGTCATCTGTAATGGTTGCTCACTAAATAGGAAAAACTCGCCATAAAATCATATTTCCTGTTGAATTTTCTAGCTTAAAATGTGTCATTCAAGTACATCATGAGTATATAAAGTGCCCAATGACAAAATAAGAAGAGCAAGTACCTGTAAATGCATCCAACACAAGGGGGAAAATAAGGCAAAATTTCGAACTTTTTCTTGAAATATCCCGATAAATAGTGGTTTGTTCACATTTTCGTTATGAAAACTCGTGTTTTCTCAGACAAAAATACGTAAGTACTAAAAAAATTTTTCGAAAAAAAACCATCGCATGATTAGTGCAAAATTACCATAGCAAGATTAGTTGCGTTAGTAAACAATGGGCGTAGTAAACGTTACGCCGCTCGTGCAGTGGGAGTTCATGAAGCAACTGCTCGTAGTAATCCGCAAGTAGGAACAAACCCGCTCCGAGGGTCGGTTCTGGTCGCCCCCGAAAAACTTTTCCAGGAGATGATCGCTTCTTGAGATTGCGGATTTTACGGAATCGATCAAATACTACTACGGTAAATGTTCAGCATTATCTTCGCCAAATTCCTGATGTTGCAGTAAGTAAGCAGACGGTATGTAGACGTCTGAAAGAAGTTAATTTAAAAGCTAGGAGACCTGCAAAAGGTCCCAAATTATTGCCCAAACATCGTGCTGCTAGAAGAAATTTTGTTGAAAATTATGGACAGTGGAATATTCGTGAATGTTTACGGATGAGTCAAGGTTTTGCCTTGACATGGTGGATGGAAGAAAAAGAGTGTGGAGAAGAACTGGTGGGTCCGTTATGGTGTGGGGAGGGATTTCAATGAATGGAAAGACACCCCTTAATGTTTTTCCGGTGAGGCAGTCGATGAATGCCCAAATTTACATTGACATTTTAGAGCAGTATGTCTTACCTTATGCAGAGTTAGTGGGCAATAATTTTATATCGATGCAGGATAATGCCCGACCACACACCGCAGCAATAGTGATAAACTTCTTAAAAGCTACTGGTATTACCACATTACAATGGCCTGCGAGAAGCCCTGATATGAATCCTATAGAACATGTGTGGGATGAATTAGGGAGAAGGGTACGTTCTCGCGAGAGGTCTCCGGAAAGTCTCGCAGAAATGGCAGATGCATTAGTGGAAGAATGGGATCGTATACCAATGGAAACAATAAGCAACTTAATTTCCAGTATGCCTCGAAGATTAGAAGTTCTTAGAGTTGCTAGAAGAGGCAATACACGGTATTAAGTAGTCATCCCAATTTATAATTTTGTGTTTAATAAAAATGTTTTTAAAATTATTGATATCAGTTTATTTCATTAAAAAATTGTTTCTCGATAAATTCAGAAAGTTGGTAATCTGCAAGAATTCAGCAAAAAAGCTGTAATTCGGAAAATTTTAGAGATGAATCAATGAATGAAAAAACAAAATGCTCGGGTGTAAGCACTTTCTATGCCATTACTCAATTAACACACAGGGTGAGTCAAAAATTAAGAATACATCATGGTTCGAGTCATTCCACCACCATCAAGGAGGCTTTGAAAAAATTTTCACCTCTCTATTTGTTTTTAAAGACAAATGCATTACCTAACAACAAATAAAAAACAAAGGAAAATCGGCCTACTATTTTTTTTAAGAAGATAGGTCAAATATCAAGTGCGTCACTTTTTTTGGAACTGAGTGTAAGCGAGTGGACTATTTTTTTTTCATTTCTTAAAAAGAATCATCACTCGAACACCTTTCAAATTCATACTTTTTAAAAATTTTTCGGCCGATTTTTAGGTGTTTAAATCATCAATAATGCCACGGTAATTTTCAAACAGCTAGAAATTTACCGCCAGTAAAAATTGACGCCATGATTTCATAAGTTGGAGCAGACCATAGAACAGTTGCCATGTGTTGAAATATGATTGGGAATTTCAGAAATATAAGTTATGCAATTATTCATAAATTCTCAATTGAGTATTGGTAATATTCCTAATTAGCAATAAAAATTCAATTGTCTCCAAATGTTCCCTTATGATTTGTGGCTTATTGCTTATAATACATTTGTGTAAATAATAATCATTATATTAATTCACACTAGATTACATTTGAATCGGTGAACGTGACGAAACCACGCACGACTTTTGGGCGTGGTCTTGTCAGTTCTCAGCATTCCGCACAATGTTGCCAAGTCTCCAACATCCACATGATATTTTGTTATGGAGAATGAGAAATATCTGGACATGCTGGTTGCTCCAAAAAGTCAGGAATGAACTCTATAATGTCATGAGTTCCTCCTATTATGTTTTCTTCATTGACAAGACTCAAACATCTTTTTGACAACTTGATTATAATTGGTAAATTGACAACCTTGCTTTATGAGTGGAAATGGAAGATTATCTGACCAATAACGAAACAGCATAAAAACTGACGTCACCATTTATTCGACGTGTCGCCAAATGGCAGCCATGACGTTACGTTTGAAATGAGCTCTGGAAATCAACGATTTTGATATTTACATAAAAAGAGCGTGAGAAGTGTTGCAAAAATTAATCTAGGTTTCTAACGACACAGTGGAGTATTTAAATTGAATATTGAAGTGTACAGGATAGTGTATGGAATGAATGGATATAAATGATATACATATTGCACAATACATATGGATACCTATAGTTCACTGAAACTGATACGAGTCATAGCGGTTTTTGAAAGTATTAACACTTGGCGCTGTTACCACATCACCAGGTAGGGCGTTCCACCTCGAAAATATTCGATTAGGAAAGAATTGTTGTCTAGCTGTAGTACGAAAGTTGTCTCGTTTCAACTTCATGGAATGACCTCTCAATCTGTCGTCATTCTGAAGTTGAAATAATCCAGAAAGATCTACAGAGAAGGAATCATAATGACGTCTCCCCTAATACGTCGCTCACTGAGGTAAGGTAGATTCAGGCATGATAGATGATAGACGTTGGTCGTAGGATAGGTCACTAAAGCCTCTCACCATTCGAGTAGCATTGCGTTGAGCTCTTTCCAAATGTTGAATGTCTCGCACTAGATAAGGAGACCACACCTGGACGGCATACTCTAGGTATGGACGAATGTATGATTTATGCAATTGATTGAAGAGCCTTGGTTCAGGATGATTGAAGCATTTATTGAGTAAGTAGGCGCGACTGCCTTACTAACAACAGCTGCAACTTTGATTCGACACTGACAGTTTTTTGTTGAAGATTACTCCTAGGTCGTTGTGATTCTCTACTGCAGGTATGGTCTTGTTATCCAAGTAATGAACGAAGTCGGGGTTACTATTGCTATTGTGCAAAACAGAACACTTGTCTATATTCAAAGGTATATCTCATGTGATGCACCAATTTTGCACGGACCTCAGGTCAGATTGAAGATCATCATGACTGGATAATGGATTTCCAAAAAACTTGCTATCGTCAGCAAAAAATGCATGGTCAGATTTCAAAACTTGTAGATCCGATGCATAGGCAAGGAATAATGTTGGCCCCGAAACTGATCCCTGAGGCACTCCAGATAAAACTTGGTGAGAGTTTGAGTGACTCGAACCAACCCTCACTCTGAAGACCCTATTGGAGAGGAATGCGGCTATCCATTTGTGGAGTTTTCCTCTTACACCAAAGTGTTCGAGTTTATGTAACAGCTTGTCTCAAGGAACCTTATCGAAGGCCTTGGAAAAATCGAGGTATACTATATCAATAGGTGATGAGGTGTCAAGATATTGATCATTTATCCAAGCAGTAGAGGAGGTTTTTTGTGGTTGATCTTCCAGGTATGAAGCCATGCTGGTTGGATGGAATCACCTGAATGCCAATAATTCATTCATCAGTCCACTCGCCAATAACACTTCAAATCTCGCCTTGATATAATCAAATTTTTTTTTTTTATATTAAATCATTGTTTTTTCAGTTTCAAAAGAAAATTTCTCGGAAAATTGTGTAATATTCAAAAATTAGATTTCAGCTCGGATTTTAGCTCTTGGTTTTGCTCTCTTTTTCGCGTCAGGAGTCTGTGGTCAGAAGACAGAACAACCTGGAGCTAACATCTAATTATTTTTTTCCTTACATAATAAAAATAACCGTTTTCTCAAACATCTACAATATTTTGTAGCTACTAGAAGCCAGTGTACCACAGCTTTGTGAATACCTCAGCAATTCTGTAACAGCAACTCCAACACTACAAGTCTTCCTCCATATGGCTTTGAAAATTCCTGCCTTATTGACTGATCATGTGAATGTCATGAAGCAGGTTGCTCAGAGCCATCCTCAGACTGTATGTCTGGCTGCACAAATCATTGGGGCTGTGGGAAAACTTAGTAAGGTAATGTTTACAGCAAAAACTGCAGCATAATTTTATTTCCAAACTTTCTGAACAATGAATGAGCACTAGACATTTTTTTGAACATACCAATGATATAGATGTATAAAAAGTCTAATGGAAATCTCTGGGTATTCCCTTACTTTGTAAAAATAGGGAAGCGTGGGAGACTCTTGCTAAATTTCCGAAGTTTCAAACCAAATTTACAGGCATCATGACACATTCATTTGATTTGACATTTTCACAATTTTTTATAATTTTGACTTTCAGTGGTGAATTCATGAATGACATGACAAGTCCTAAATCAAGGAAATTCTGTGATAATAGTTCATTCACTCAATTTTGGTACATAAAATAAAACGAATACTCGGATTTTCAAATAATCCTCACACATTGCAGCAGTGAGTCCATGATGATAGCATAATACACTCACTCAACTAATAATATAATATCAATACCAGTTTAATAAACTAGTAATGTTCTTAATTTATTATATTTCTATTTAAAATTTTGACAAAATCATGAATGATTATGCAGAAAACATGGCATTCGTGACATATATGTCAATTTCAAAATGTTTAGGCGCGGATTATGCGTTGCGCCCTGTCTCGTTTGCATCCACATCCTGTCTCTATATGCTTCAGCTATTATTGAATTCGTGCATCATCAACGGGACTCTTCTGGTCCCGAAAGAAGGAAAACACATCCTTGAAACTCTAGATCAACTTCATAACTCTATAACAAAGATTCAAAACGCAATTTGAAAATTTTAAAGAAATTTTTCATCCTTCTCACCATCTATCATCGAATATGAGAACCGCACGTTCCAAACTCGCATTCAATTGTTCATATCGAGAGCTAGTCTGACGAAACAATTGAAGAGTGGGCACACTAGAGGATTTATAAAAATCTCTCCTTTGATATTTCATATGTCACAAGAAGCCCGAAAACCAAAAAAACCTTTGAAGTATGATAAGTTTATCGACGTTATTAATCTTCCCTTCATGGTAAATGAATGAGGCTCTGCTATGGAGGTGCTATCCATGCCACTTACTTTATTCTTAAGTGGAATTTACTTTAGGTATGTGTGATATAATAACATTTTCATTTTCTGACTATTATTGTTATGTCGCCATCTCAGTATCTAAGAATACACAAATCATTCCCAATATGGGGCGTTCCTGAATTTGAACCTCAGATACCTAGAAAATCATGCTGGTATGTGGGTACTACATATCCCAACTTTTAACTTTCATTTTTCATAAATGAGTTGACAGCTTTCTTGAATAAGTGGTGGGAGCATTTTTTCTCTTTTGGGCTAGAATAAAGATATATTGAAAAGATGTTCAAAAGTACGTCATCAGAATGGCCGACAATTAAATTCAGGAGATTGTCAATATTTCGGTATTTTTGGTTACGTATGGATCGATTTCATTTTACAATAGCTCTACAGTACTTGCTACAAAATGACTTCAAATTACCAGTAGTTCACATTCTCAAGAAAACTTAGGATTCATTTACGTTTTTTTTTTTAATTTGAGCTGTATTTAAATTGATCTGAAGCTGACAGATATATGGAAAGTTTCGTGAATTTCATTGGGCGCCATTTCTATGAGTAACATCATGAACATTTCTCATTTCAAGGAAAACTTGCTCATAAACATATCGATGTTCGCAATCTTATTTCTAGGACAAGGCTCAGGATGCGCTGAATTTTATTCTGGAATATTTACCGAAAACTGATAAAAGTTCGCAAAATGCTTTATTGAAAGAGGCAACCCTACTTTGTAGTACTTATCCTGGACTCTTCACTGACAAATTCCTGGCTGGAGTACGAAACAGAAACAACACAAGGTAATTCTCAAATACACCAGCGTACATAAATAAACAAGTAAAGTCAAAGTCTGATTTTGACGAAAAAAAAAATCTGTAATTAGCAAGGTGGCGCCTCCTCTATTATTCCATAGATGCCAGCACGCTCGAAAGTTGAAAACGTCTGGATGTTGCCAAGCTGATTATTTATATATAGCTTTTGAACTTGAATTATGGCATTTCAGCAAAAGATACGTTTAACCATGTATTAAGTGCTGTTAAATATTCTATAAAATTGTTGATTTATTTCAAACTAAGTATAACATACGGTCTCATGACGATGTCAACATCTATTTGGTGGTATGATCATGAAAAATCAATTTTAGTCCAATGGCCACTTGAATCTGTCAACAATGTGAAATCAATTTATGACAGCTATTCATGCAGGTATTCTTCGCTGTAGGTAGGTACCTGAAATTTTCAAGTTTAGTGATTCCGATGTGTACATGGTTTACATCACTAAAGACATGTTTTCACGACAAATTACGAAATTTCATGAATTATATAGTAACTTATCAAAAATATAGAAGGAACTAAGCAGCCCCTACCTTTCTGCTTGGCTTGCATGTCGAGAAAGTGTGAAAGGACTGATGAGTCTCCACAGTTCCAACTTAAATTCAAGTTGCATCATAAGTGACCCTAATACAGCATTGCCTGAACATCTTTCTACTTCCATTCAAGTATAGGTAGATGGTTTTCATACTCGATAATATCTTTCGTGATGTTTCATTTTCGGGTTTCATCATGACAGATTTTTATTTACAAACTTGACAGGACCATGAAAAATGTTTGGCTTAAGAATAAAAAATGAATAACTTAGTTTACTTAGTTCACGTAGATGTCTCTGAACTACATATTTTCTTCATTTTTCTTTTCGATGAACAGACAATATTATAGCTCCTGCCAACTAACTACCTAACTAGGTTGTCATCTAGAACGACAATGGTTAGACACATACTGACTCCGCCTTCTTTCCAGTACGAACCAAACCACTCCCCCCGCCGCCCAAGTCGCCTCGGGACCGGTGACGATAGTGAAGGTGGGCGGGGCCGCGGCGGTCGCCGCCCCTTCGAGCGGGTACGCGCGGCGCGCCAAGCTGGGCGACTCGCGCAGCACGGGGCGACTACACCCCGCCCCGGGCGCCAACGCCCACCGCAGCATGACGAGGCTGAACGCTGGGGGCGGGTCGGTGGGCGGCCTGCACAAGAGCATGACCAGGTCGGTATCCTTATCTTATTTTATACCGGGTGTTTCTCAAAAGTGGCTCACCCCTATAACTTTTTTGTTTGTACAGATTGGGTTGAGTGGAAGAACAAGTTAGTGGTGACTCACCACCAAATTTGAACTCCGACCATTATTTTCTTCTTTGATTTGTTCATTGTTTTAATATGATTATTAAATATTTTTTTCTTGAAAATAATTAAACGATTCATTATTATTATTATGAACAAATGAAATTCGGTGTGCAAGTATAGTACATAAATATGCATTATTTGACGTATTCAATAGAGCAGTTCAGCTACCGTTGAGAGAGAAAAAAAATGTCTTCCGCATCTGTCCTTGTCTTCAGTGTTCCAACATAAAATAATGAAAATATTATGTTGGCATCATTGGAAATGGGAAAAAATGGAGAAGAATATCATATCAACCTAGATATAAAAGAAGGTTAGAACGGTCTTCTTCTTCATTTCTTCTCATTTCCAGTGTTGGCAACATAAGATTTTCATTATTTCATGTTGGAACACTGAAGACAAGGACAGATGGGAAGACATTTTTTTTCTCTCTCAACGGTAGCTGAACTGCTCTATTGTTTTCCGTTACTCCCGGTTCGACCGGAAATCGCCCTTATTTTCTTATTATAAATGGGACACCCGGTATATTTGTACTCATTCCGATAGAGAATAACATTGTCAGTACAAAGACACCCTATTTGCCAATTTTTAATATTCATCATTCTGTAATTTTCATTTTTCAATTTGAATGAAAATGATTATATATTTTGAGAGCTGTTATGACTGGACCTTTTCTAATCTGTGCCGGTGAAGCTGGAGGAATAAATAGTTTATTTGCATTTCTTGTTGTATAATGATTAATATCACCACATGTTTTGGAGTTTTTAAGATTATCGTGAGTGAAGCATAGAGCGGTCAGAATGTAAATATTGTAAATGATTGGAATTTTTCGAGAGATTAATATCTGACGACATGAGTCCCTTGGTCTCATACCAAATATACTTCTTATTGTCCGTTTTTGACTGGTGGAGACCTTTTCAGAACCAGAGCTATTACTCCCAACACAGAATGCCATACATTAGTTGAGAATGTACACAGCTATAGCAGTGGCGGCTCGTGACTTTCATGACAGAGGAGGCTGAATAATATGAGATTTATTGTGAAAAACAACTCTCTACTCACCCAAATCAAAATAGCTTTAATGACATTCTGTTTACCAGTTAACCTGAACTTAATACTTGCAGAGATGTGTTATAATCGCGTTTGTGATATTATGTAATTGGACTACTGATTTACGAGACATGTTTTTCAGTAGAACCATGTCCAGTCCATCAAGCCCTGGTGCTTCATTCATGTTAAGAGTTTTGATTATATTGAATATTTCCTTGGGTGTGGTTATTTCGCTACTCAGGGCTTGTCTGGGGGGTAGGATGTTTGGTAGTGCCCTTATTCGGGCCGCTGTTGCTACCATGTCAGCCTAGACCTCGTTGGTGGGTGCTTTATCGATTTGACTAATTCTTTGAAAATGTCTCCCAAGCACTATCGCCTTCTCCGGATCTGAGACCGCTTCCTCGTGAACGGCTAGTGCCTTACCTGAGAAGCTAGGGCGATGCCCTAATCTCCCGCTTCACAGTCGGATTATTTCAACTGATAAACTGACACCTCTGTAATAATTATGCAACAAGTTATCGATTTATAACCCGAATACTTTGAATCACCTATATTCCTTCTCAATATTAAATGATTCATTTGTTGTTCGATATTCTCGATAAATATGTGGTCAGGATAACGTTTTTGACTTGACTTTGAAAAAGGGTAACATTTTACGATACTAGTCAGGCCCGTTGCCTATTTCTGAAATAACGAATTTATTCCATATATTTGCATCATACTGTATGTAATGATTGGGCAAACCCTTCGATCGTATCCGTCACCAGCTATTATTACCTATCCTTCATCATGTCGGCTTCTCGGCAGATGCAGTATCTTTACTCGGAGCGTACTTGCTAAATCGCATGCAAGCTGTACGGATTGATCAGTGCTGTTCTGATTTTCTAGTTGTGGAAAACGGAGTACCCCAAGGATCCCCTATACTGTTTATTTTGTATACACATGAATTTCACAAAGAAGTTCGTTTCAGTAAGAGTCACTTTTATGCGGATGATACGCAAATATACATATCTTTCCTAGAAAGTGAATTATTAGAAGCAAACCAGAGGCTCAACTCTGACCTTGCGTCCATCATATCTAAAAATACTGTCTCTCAATAAATCCTTCCAAATCTGTTGCAATGTTATTTGGGAAAAAAGATGCTCGCGGTCGTTGCATCGATTCTTTGAATATCAAAGTCAAGGACTGCATACTCCCTTTATCTGCCTGTGCCAAGAACCTGGGGGTGATACTGGATACATCGCTGAATTTCTCTAGTCATGTCAATATGATCATAAGGCGAGCATTCTGTAATCTGAAATTGATCTACACAAATAGAAAAATCTTGGACCAGCGTAGTAAAATTACTTTATGCGAATCTCTTGTTCTGTCGCACTTGAATTATGCTGATGTTATCTTCGGACCTGCTATTACTAAAAGAGATCTACATCGTTTACAACTAATCCAGAACTCTTGCGTGCGTCTGATATGCGGGTTGAGTAGACGTGATCACATCTCCAGACCTTTGTATGAGCTTGGATGGCTTGATATTGAAAAGAGAAGAATTCTTCAATCGTGCACACTATTCCACAAAATCATAACTACACGGAAACCGTCTTACCTATACCAAAAAATCACATTCCGCACAGACGTTCACCACCTTAATACGCGCTTTAAATCTTTATTAACTCCACCCCTGCACAACACCGCACAATATCAATCGTCATTTTCATTTATGATAACCCGGCTTTACAATCGGCTTCCCGAAGAACTCAAAATCACTGAGGTGAGCAGTTTCAAACTCAAATTAAAGAAATCACTTTTGTCAGGCAATCTCCGCCTCTAACTAAGGTTCAGCATACTCTTTATATCATTGGTACCGCTCATCACCACATACGTTCGTATGTTCGGATTTGCATCTCCTTATTTGTCATGATCATAATAATTTTTCACAGAAATGTGTAGCTTGCATGCTCACAACTGCATCCTAGTATTTAAGTTTAGTTTTAGGTTTTTTACGGTTGAGTGGAAGAAAGCACTTTCTCGTTCCTCTCAGGAACGTTTAAGAGCTAACTCTGCCTCTTGATAGATATTCAATGTAATCTTCCTGTTTATTATTTTTTCTTGCTATGTCCTGTTATTTGCTATATATCAATAAAAGCGTTTATTATTATTATTATAAACGCTATGTTCATCGACAATCTCAGGTTGAGTTCGTCGCAGCACATCAACGCCGTGCCCACACCGCCCCTCTCGAGCAACGTGATCGTGACGGGCGGCGGTAAGTGGGGCGTGACCGTCACGACGATATCGCCGCCCAGGGGGCAGCGGCCGGCCAGCCAGGGGCAGCCCATGCACAACCAGACCAATCAGGTGAGTGTTCGACGTCTATAGTTGCGTTTTATTTATCCGATTACGCCACCGGAATCACTTTAATGTGTCGTTTTATTTGCAACTTTCCCGATTCCGGTTGCTACTATTCATTCCGTCTCACTACAAGGAATGACTGTTGACAGTTATCAAAAAATTATATTAGATTGACGAAAAACGAAACTTTTTAAAAGTAGAAGACATTTAGAAGGCATTTTTATCGTGAGGTTCACATGTTTAAGATTCTTTCAAGTAAGACAGGTTCCATATGTTCATTTCCAGATAAAATTAATTCTCTCTATCTCAGAAACGTTTCTCCAATCACCACTATCACTGCTCAAAATATTCGTCATTCTTGCATTGCCTGTTTGACTCAAATGGTTTGAAATGTCAAGAATTCTTTGTCACATGATTTGAAGATTTTTGAACAAAAATTTTGTTCAAGTAGGTTCTTTAAAATGGACAAAATCACAAGGAAAATTAAATAAAAATTCATTTAATGGTAAGTATTTTGTGTTGTGTTTGTAATACGAAGTGATTTAAAAAAGGAGGGAGATATGTACAAGATAATGGATTCAAAGAAGAAATATTGGTAGAGGAGTCCTACCTATGATTTTTGATGAAGTCAGACTGGAAGATATCCCATAGTAAATTTCAAAACTACCTAAGAATGGATGGGAGATTTTTCAAATTTTTATCAATCCATCATACTTATATGCGCGTGAACGTATACCTGCAGAAATGAGGTGAGATCATAATAAAGTCTCTAGTCAATCAAGCATTTTGGGATTGGAGTAGACAAAAATATTCCTATAATTTTCCGAAATAGTCCTCAGTCCAATTACCAGGACAGGCATTTTTGAAGTATTGATAATATAATTAATAGTATCTCTTGTAAATTCCTATGACATAAAATAATAATCAATGAAGAAAACATGGAAACAAACGTCCTTACCTTATTGTTTGATCCAACATGAAAAATATTTAGAACAAGTTCTAAATTTCAGCTGGTGTTTGACGTTACGTCACTGATGACATTTCAGATCTGTAGTTTGATCAAATTGTTGGGCCGTGAGACACAGCCTTGGGAGGAAGTTTTCATTATCGAGGATTTTACCTCACTGTGGGGTTATAGTGGGTTATAGGGACTGCCAAAATGATCAAAAACCGCTTCGTTACTGACATAGTGATTTGTGGATTCTGACAAAAATTCAATCTGCCATATACAGAGATTACCCAATTGGGTTCAAATTTTGTACATGAATTAAACTCAGAGGCTTCAACTAGTAGCCTTCTAAACCTATGTCAGGACTGGGACTTTTCAACTATGTTGAGTCATTGTTAGAATAATTCACCATGTATAATAATTATCAAAAATCTGAGATCATATTATGAATTTACGGGAAAAATACTTCTAATTGTCGGATAAAATATCAGCAAAAATGGAAATATAATAAATATTTACGAAACCAAGACATAATTGACATTGACATTGAGTATGCACTTGTTGTGGCTTGTTGAACTTGAATATGTATATAAACATATATAAAAAGAGTGTTATTCCATTTAAAATAATAATGTTTCTTGCATTTCCAGAAAAACCGGAAGTCCGCCATATTATTGTAATGAGATAAAATCCTAATTCGTAGCTTATTCAGTGTGTCTCATTTCTAATGGAAACACCCCTGTATCTTACGTATTCGTTGGGAAGGAATCTTGAAATTCTGGAGCGAGAAATATTCCAAAAATGCCCTCTATGACCAAATGGGGTAATCTTCAGTGATACACACTGCTCGCCAACATCCATATAGAACCACCCCAATTTCCGGAAAATGATATTAGGAGTCGAAATAGGTTGCAAATCACTTCGGAATCGGAAACAGGACGCCCAATTCACTAACTATTCGTATTTTCCCGAAAAACATTTCAGTTCTGAAAATTTCATTTTTATCTCACTTTTCATGAAAACACCCCCGTATCTTACGTAATTATCGAGTTAGGATTGTTAAATCTCCAGGAGCAAGAAACATTCCGAAGATACAGTCAATGACCAATTGAAATTACCATTAGTGATATACACTGCTCGCTAGCAGCCATGGAACCAATTACATGTCCGGAAAATCATATTAGCAGACAAGATAGGTTTGAAATTACTGCAGATTCGTGAACAGGAAACACCCAACCAACCTATTTCGACTCCTAATATAATTTTCCGGAAATTGGGGTGGTTCCGTGGCTGTTGGCGAGCAGTGTGAATCACTGAAGATGACATAATTTGGTCATAGACTGCATTTTTAGGTATATCTCTCGCTCCAGCAAATTTCAGGATTCTTACCCAACGAGATCGTAAGATACAGGGGTGTTTCCATTAGAAGTGAGACACACTGTATAACTGTACCAAATTTCAGAAAAATTCGTTCACCAATGCAAATGTTACAGAGGGGTGGCCCGATACTCTGTGTCACCAGTATAGTGGTCTAGATAGTAGTTATATCAGTGTCAGTGTCACAATATACAATGCTGTTTCCAGTAACGATTTTCATAAACAAATTTGCGTATAAATGAGCAAAGATTGACTACTGACAGACTTCCAACTTCACCATTGCCATCTGCTTCAAGCTTTTCAGATAACCTACCTGCTACCTGCTGGAAAATATAATTTTTGAAGAAAATGTCAGATCCTGTGTTCACCTTTGTCTTCAAATATTGTATCATTAGTCCTTTTGCATATAATCCTCAAAAAAAAACAGAATTGGTGTAAAAATCAATTAGCATGTAACAGCATAGTGGCCTATTGATTATTGAACAATAAATATGATAACAAAATGCAAAAATCTACAATATTCTTCGGTTAATTATATCACCTTTTAATTCTGAAATCCGAATATTTAGCTATCCAGTAGTCCAGTGGTATCATCATCACATCCAAACTCCAATGCAGTTACTGTGAGTTCCGGTTATACTGGCCCCATTTCCAGTGGGCAAGTATCGATATTGACCAGCACTACCAACAACTCCATCACACAAAACATTCCAGTAGGAAATAGCATAGTTCACACACCTCCGCCCATGCCAGAAAACTCCAACTCTACCAATTCTGGTGCAAGTAAGAAACACATTATTACACGAAATTTGCAGTTGTTTCATTTCTATTTTCTACCACTTTTATATGGCTATAAAATGAAACTGGGGAGACCACTGATTTTTTAAAATGACATCATCGTTAGCTTTGTACCAAGAACCACCAGTAAATATAATTTTAAATTTTTTCATTGATACTAGGACGATGAAAAAGTAAATTATAATAGTTGTTTATCTACTCACTGAATCGAAAGTAGGCGTTTGCTCCCTCTTTGAGGAAACAAAGTGGTCAATTCACTCTCACGGGAGGAAAAAAATATGTTGATATTTTTTTCCTCCCGTGGGAGGGAAAGTAAATAGGCTTCAGCTTGCATCCTTTGGCGTCGATATACCGATAATATATGTGCAATCTAAGTTATCAGTGTATTTATCACTATTATAAAACAAGTAACGATCAAATCTTTTTTGAATTCCAATGATATCATACGCTTCTTTATGTTCTGAACGTACTTCTAATCAAAACTTTGGAATGCAGTTACAAATTATACAAACCAATTAATTCATGATGACAGAAGTGTCAAATTGACGTCCATGGCAAACTATACCATTGTAACGCATAATGATTTGGATCGAGAGATAGACCACCTGAAGCACAATGCCAAGAATGATGCTTTAAAAGAATGCGTTCATTGATAAAATCATATATATATCACGGGAGCAAAGGTTCATTTCCTCCCATGTGTGTTTAATCCCCTCCGCTATGCGTCGTGCATCAAACTTCACACTCGGGAGGAAATGGATACCTTTCCGCCCTTGATATATAAATAGCTATTATTTCAAAACACACACTTCCTGCACCATTTGAAATGGTGTCAATTCATTGGTGTGACTGGTGCGACGTATTTGTCCCAACACTCCTATTGTCCTTGAGCTGACCAATCACACTGCAACACCGCAGGATGACGAGGTAACAGAGAGAGATAGCTACAGCTCTGGACTAATACGTCACGGCGGACCTATCTGTCTTTTTGAAATATCGAATGGAATATGCGGATTTCAAAATGTTATAGATTCGATTCCCTCCAACTTTAACTAATAATATTGATTGTACATTAAATGTAAATCATGATTCATCGATTGAAAGGGATTCGGACGTATCTCATCCCTCAGTGGTCTTCCCCATTGTTGGAGCTCCTAGGTTCAATAGAATCAGCTCTTCAAGGAGAATCTGAAAATGGAATAATATACAGGGTGTGTCATTCAAAAAATCAAAGTTGTTGGTACTTTTCAATATAAGCGGCAACGTCGCAATACTAAGAATATTTCAGGTCGATAGAAAGGCACCAACTTTTCAGAATAAACCTGAGTTGCGTTCTCCAGAAACGTCTAATGTGCCATCCACCGTGAATCAGCCTGTACATATAGTTTCAGTTTCTGAAGTACTTCAACTTCCACCAGAAATTTTGCCATTGTAAATTGTGCAAAACATTTTATAGCTAAATGAAATAGTACAAAATGAAATGAAAGCACTGCACAATTACCATATACCCTGATTATTGATACTAACAAGATGAACCATCCTTATGAGAGCAATGAAGCCAGAAATTCTATTCAGTAGGTGGTGGTGTCTATGAGCGACAAGATGAAATACTTCTTCTTGAGTAGCGAAGGGTAGAGATCGATAATGTAGAATCTAGTCGAAGTTTATTTATATGTGTTTCTATGCAAGAAGGAACGTCGAATCAGGGTCGGATTGAAATATGTTTATTTAAAAGCCTTCAGTATATCAAAGTTAGTGATTTTCCTGCTTCAGGAATGATATTCCTAGATATTGCACCAACTTGCAGATTGATAGACTCGAGCAGATTCCTAGAGTATAGACAAATGGGCCATATTTTGCGAGTTTCTCTAGTGCCACCTACGAACCAGTCAACTATAAGGCCATTAGCTGACAGTCGATTCACGAATTTGCCTAGATTCTTAGTATTTAGATGCTAGGTTTATCACTATCTGTTAGTGGAACATTAAACCACTTTAAGATTTTCAGGTGTTGCGATAGTCTACAGAATAATTGTGACTTGGTGTCTTCCTGTAAGCATAAAGACGCAAGACAACTCACTCGCAAGGTTTGATTGTCGAACAATCTACCTATACACCTTTGTACTTAGCCACTAGATGGCTCTGAAGGCTATATCGTCCTTCTGCCCCCTCCAGGCTTCTATTTTTAACTAATGCCAAAGTTTGCTTCAACTTTTTACATGGAGGTGGATCATCTTGTTAGTGTAAATAATCAAGGCCATGTATCAACAATTTCCTCAATTCAGGTAACGTAAATGTAAACATCAGTGGTCCGACCACGGTGATATCGCGGCGGAACAACAACACCAGCATCACTCTCATCAACCAAAACTCGGTAGCCAATCAGAGGATGAGCGTCTTCGAACCTTACCCGATGCGAGACACCATTCAGCACTTCTGCGAGAAACACCTGGACAAAATCAAGATCTACATGGAGAAAGTCTCTCTGAGGATTCCTTCGCCCGCTAAGTGCACCATAGAGGAGAAGCGGCAGAAGAAATCTGCGAAGTTGCACTTTGCCTGTCAGGCTAGAGGGCAGCATTGTCTTTACTCGAAAACTTACTTTACTATGAGGACGAGGAATCCTAGGATTTGGATACATCTCATGTTCATTTCCTTGCAGGTCAGTACCAATAAAACATTGGTCGTGTATAGAGTGAAGTGGGATTATTGTGCCCAGGAGGTGATAGTGATGATACTAACCATGCATTTATGAAATTTAGCTTGCATATGGCCGCCAATACGGGAAGTGTAGTTCTCAAGGTTAGTAAAACTCAGCTATTTGACACAATTTAAATCAATTGATAATAATCATGATTCAATCAATATTGAAAATATCAAATAACCTCACGGAGACTTCACAAAATGACATTATTATTATGTAACAACATGTGAAATTCAATTCATTAATGCACATACACACATTTTTAGAAATCACGTTTCATTAGATCTATGAAATATATATCTATCCGTGTTTGGCGTTTATTATTGTTGACATATACTTTTAATGATATATGAATGAATCGCGGTGTATATATCTATTGTTTTTCAATCTGAGTACTCCCCGCAAATGTACAAGTGTCCTTTGTTATCCCCACCATTCGAGATTTTATTCATTCAACCGTGCTTGGCGTTTCGGATTGTTGACGTATACTTTTTAACCTTCCATCAAGTTCGCTGTGTAGATTTCCATAAACAAGCAGATTAAATTTCACGTCAACTGGTTTTCTTTATGTAAATGGTGTATTTTTTTTCACATACATGTTGGGTAATTGCTGTGTAGGTATGAAAAAGGTTAATACAATATGACAGTGAAAAATGAAGAATAAATTAGGAAATAGTATATTGTTTAACAAGCACGAAATGATAGTGATTTCCTACGAGAATGAAGTTTGCAGCATGAGCCATAGGCGCATATTGTGCAAAAAGTGAGAAAAGTGCTTTTCCCCACATGTTGCACACTATACTTTTTCTACAACTGCACTCATCCAAAGAATCCGAGTAATGTAGCTTATTCGTATTCATTTCATAATGTGGCACTATGCCACATTGAATATTGTGACCAAAGAGTAGACGCCTTTCCTAGTTATTCAAAGTATTTCAAAAAAGTACACTTTCCGAAAAAGATTTTATTTCTGTATTTTTTTAGATTTCATATGTTTTTCGTTTATGCCAATTCTTACTTTTTTCTCGAAATTTCCGGAAACAAATCCAACTTTCGCAGCTTCTTCCATTATCTCTGTCTCTGGCGGTGTATTTATCAAAATCGCCACATCTCGGTATATACATTATATTATTTATTATGAATTGTTGGAAAATGCGATTTCTATCAAAATCACTAATGAGAAGTACCCTAAAGAATTCAAAAAACTTCTTCTGACAGTTGTGACAGCTATTCAAAGCTGAACGGCAGCCAAGTTTTGTTCGATTTTTGTTGATTCTCCATGGAAATGTATGTGGTTTTGGCAAAGTGCCGTGAGAAAAAATATTTCTCACAGTATGAGCAATACATGGTTTTGAAACTAAGTTAGCTATGAGAAATGCACTACTTTTTATAGCAGTAGTAGAAAAAAAATTCATTAATATGCTGGGGCATGTCACAAAATGTACGATCTTCCATATATCAAAGGATAACCTTAGTGTAAACCCGATACGTCTGTAGTTTGAAGAGACACTGAAACTTCATAGCTCCAAGCTCAATGCTCGCGACTGATAGATAAAAGTTGTAGAAGTTATTATGCGTGTTCATCGTAAATTTTACGACAGCGCGCTTGCTGAAAGGTTGATTGATGAATGAATCCTGTCCAGGCCCGCCATTCGCACGCGCTGAGCTCCCGAGACGCGCAAGTGGCCAGCCTGAAGCACTGCTGGGACATCCTCAAGAGCGAGAACAAGACCTTCCTGACGGTGGTGACATTAATTCTTGCTTTGTATACCTGTTCGTCTTCCACCATCGGCCGATTCTCAAAAGCACTCAAATCACTGAAATTTCGAAATAAAAATGATTGAATTATCATATAATGGAATGTGGCTCTCATTGTTTTTCCCATTCCACTGACAGCTTTGACATCAATATCAATGTTTTGACGTAATTTTCCTGCTATCGGAAAAATTTTCGCGGAGGAATATTATTTTCAGAGGCATCGATAAGAAACTTCAACAACATAATATATAAATAAAATTCAAATGAAATTCGTCCTTCATTTTGACTCGTGAATTTGACAAATTTCGCGCATGCGCAAATAGGTATTTTCACCCGCAGACTGTCATTTGTTTCCTCAAAACTGGCTTCACTTTTGACCATGGAAACATAGGATGTTATCCGTATATGTTTAGTAGGTATATGATGTGAACCAATGAAAACAAAGTTTACATGCCGCTTTGACAGCTCTCAAGAATTCCGATAGGTGGCGTACGCTTATTTTCTATCGCGAATAGTTGTAGATAAAAGTTATTAGGCGTCATAGTGGAAGGAGAAGATGGTGTGCTCAACAGAAAGCTCAAACTCGTCTTGTTCTGCGCATGACGTCAGCTGGGATATAACTGTCATTGTTATTATTTGTTTTCGTGATTGATGTCTCGAACTTCAGATATCATATAAGTAATAAAATTGAATGAAATAATTTCGAAATGCCTACTTGTTTCGTTTCTGGTTATGGAAATTTCAACTAACATACAAAAGGCACAGATATTGAATTTTTCTGCTTTTCCAAGAATTATTGGACTATGGTTATTGAAACACTATTCAAATTTTAACAATTTATATTCACGATGTGTGCTCTACAAAAGATAAACGATTAATAATCTATATTCTCCAACTGTCCTCTTATTCATCATGTAACGTAACCATCTGAGTCATGTCTTACTAATAGAATCAGAAGGTATCGATGTATAGGGTGGTGCGGTGTAATTATCCAGTTTCTAACAGAATGGAGTCCTAATGAAACGATGGGAGCTTGCTGCCGACAGAATATAAATTCAAATAATGGTACCTAGCTACCTTATATTCCTTATATCCTCATTTCAAAGTATTCACCTATAATATTATCATCAAATTCATAATACAGCACGTATTTCTTCAAAACATTTCCATGCACAATGTTCCCAAACAAGTGCGAAAGCATGGTTCTTGAATTACACACCTCCAAAAAATCACAAATATTTGAAACAAGATGCCATTCCTACAGAACATCTTCCGAATATCAAGTCAGAAATAATTGAAAATTAATTCAAAACTCTTAATTTTTCACAAAATATAAATTGCAGCAAAGATTTGAATAACAAAACGGCAAAAATTGATACACCTGTTGTCGATGTCGGAGCAGAAGCAACGTCAACGTCTTTAAGTGCTGAATTTTAATCTGTCAGAATCGCCACAGTAGTAGATCATTCAGATGGGATTGGCAATGCATGATAATTCGTATGTATTTGATATTTGCGATTGCGAATTACCTCAAGATCACAATTTCCAGAATCAATGAAATACACTCAGTTCCAAAAATAGTGACGTACTTGATATTTGATCTATCTTCTTGAAAAAAAAAAATAGTGGGCCGATTTTTTTTTATTTGTTGTTGGTAGGTTGTCTTTGAAAAAAAAAAGAAAGAGGTGAAAATTTTTTCAATGCCTCCTTGATGGTGGTGGAATAACTCGAACCATGATTTATTCTTAATTTTTGACTCACCCTGTGTGTTAATTGAGTAATGGTATACAAAGTGCTTACACCCTATACGAAAGAGGCCGTTTTTGCGAGCATTTTGTTTTTTTATTCATTGATTTATCTCTAAAATTTTCCGAATTACAGCTTTACAGCAGAAGCCTCTTCCGTATAGGGTGCAAGCACTTTCTATGCCATTACTCAATTAACACAGGGTGAGTCAAAAATTAAGAGTAAATCACATGGTTCGAGTTATTCCACCACCATCAAGGAGGCTTTGAAAAAAATTTCACCTCTCTATTTTTTTTGAAGACAAATGCATTACCTTCCAACAAATAAAAAAAAATTAAAATTGGCTCACCTTTTTTCATTAATTTTTTCAAGAAGATAGGTCAAATATCAAGTGCGTCACTTTTTTTGGAACTGAGTGTAGTATAATCGAAGGAATAGGTACCTATTGAATCATTTCTAGACAGATCGAGAAACTCATTTCCACTATGGTATTATCTATTATTATCGTCTATTATGAATGATTATTTTTGGAAGTTTTCAAGCTCATCAAGATCAGAGTTTATGCCAGTATACTTCTCCTATACATTCCAATTTTCATTTCAATGCTGAATATATTGGTAAGCTATATTTCTATATCATTATACATCATATTATTCATCCGATTTGAAGAAGAATGTCAATTCTCAATTTCGGAAGATTTTATTCTTTATTTTTCATGTTCTCCTTTTGAATGTTCATCAGATATAATTCAATGCTCGACGAGGCAAATAGCCAGGAAAGTAGTTGTTTTCTGTTGAATATTCAGAATGATGTGTGCATATACATATTTTTGTCTGAAGGAGAATGCAAATTCTCAATTTCAGAAGTTTTTATATTTTATTTTCAAACTCTTATCGTGTGTGTTCAATAGATATAATTCAATGTTCGTCGTGGCATATAGCCAGGAAAGTAGTTGTTTTCTATTGAATCAACTGAGAAAGAGTAAATATTCTCATCACATAGAGAATGCGAATTCTCAATATATTGCTTTATATAAATATATATCCAATTTTGTATGTTCATAATTTATCTGAGAATATTCCTTTTCAAACTCAATTGAATTAATAGCGCACGACTATGGGACTTGAATCTGTCTTTGACTAGCAGCTGTCATTGGTATCCCAGATGACGTCACATGATATGCACGTAAGCACACCATCTTCTCCTTCCACTATGGTATCATCTATTATTATCGTCTATCTCAGATGGGATTCACATATAACGTATGTTAGAAAAAAACTACAATCTCTACTATACAAGTTCAAGTATCTGAAAACAATCTTACCTATTTCTCAGCTCAAACTGTTGCACTTTGCCTTGATTGAAAGTCATCTGCGTTACGGCATATTAGTATGGGGTGGTGCAGCAGACACTCATCTGAACCCTCTTGAAGTAGTACAACGTTGGCTTCTCAAAATAATATTTTCTAAGGACTCAACATATTCCACAGATCAGCTATATATCGAAGCTAAAATATTAACTACATTATTTCGCGTCTAACCTAAAATATCACCAGAACAAAAATATAACACAATTACCATCTCACTACTATAATACCCGTCAAAGACATCATTATTCAGTTCCTCGAATGTCGAAAACGCTATGCCAACGAACATATTCATACATTGCTCCAAAGCTATAATATAATTCAATTCCAGATAAAATCAAAAACATTACCGGGGTTCCACTTTTCAAAAGAGAACTTAAGGAATTCATTTTGAAAAATTCAAGAAGTATGTTACACGAATTTAGTTGAAAGAATCATTATTTTGTAAAACCTTCTTCTCCACTTCACTTCATTCCTATAATATTTTTCATTACACTTTATAATATAGTACTTTACATTTCATAATTATTCAATCGGAAATGTATTATATCACAGATTATTCCACGCTAATGATGATTATCACCTGTAAAATATTAATTACTATACAATGTGATGCAAATGTATCATACAAAAATACTTTCGCACAAATATAATTCAAATTCTAATATATTTTCATTGTCAATTTCATATTATTTAAGGCATGTATTATTTAAGGGCCTCATCAAATTTTTTTTTTTTTTCGTCTTCATCTCGAAACAAATGTTCATTCATTTATCGAGTATGTTCATTTATTCATAAATAATTTCTTTATCATTACTATGTTATGTACTAAATAGAGATTCGATTTGAATAAATGATATTATTATTATTATTATTATTATGAATGAATCCTGTCCAGGCCCGCCATTCGCACGCGCTGAGCTCCCGCGACGCGCAAGTGGCCAGCCTGAAGCACTGCTGGGACATCCTCAAGAGCGAGAACAAGACCTTCCTGACGGTGGTGACGAGCGCGTTCCCCTGCGCCAAGGACCAGGACGCGCTGGTCAACGAGCTGCGCCACTCGGGGTACTTCGATGTGTTTCAGGTGTGCCCCACCAGTGCGGTGGGGTCGGCCGACACGCTGGACTCCGTCTCGGGGGCGGTCAAGTGGGGGTGTTTCCTGTGCGCGCATCCCGAGAGGGCGGTCGGGTTCTTGAGAGGTGAGTGCTGATAGAACGTATAAGTTTTGGTGCAGCAAGCATTTCAAAGGAAATTACGACTGCGTCAACCACAATATCCTAATAAACAAATTGATTAGAATTGGTATTGAGGGACTTGCCCTGGAATGGATAAAATCTTATTTGCACGCACGTCGCCAATACGTCAGTCTTCCAGGTGCGACCGAGCAATCAGTGTCTACCGCCTGTAACTCGGATAATCTTCCTATCAGTGTAGGTGTTCCTCAAGGGTCAGTGGTGGGCCCAATATTGTTCCTAATATATGTAAATGACATCGTTAAAGCGTGCCCATCTGTACATTTTACGCTGTATGCGGACGATACATCCATACTCATATCGGAAAAATCTAATTATTCGTTCGAGGAAAAATGTAATGAAGTTCTTTCTAGGTTGTATGATTGGTTCTGCATGAATTCACTTCATCTAAATGCAGAAAAAACACAGTCAATACATTTTCATCAAAAACAAAAACAAGTACCAAACATACATTTAAACATCAATAATAAAGTGTTGGAAAATGTGTCATACGTGAGGTTTCTAGGCCTATACATTGATGAGTGCCTTGACTGGAGGAGACACTGTGAGTCAGTTATTTTAAAACTCAACTCCGTTATCTATATTTTCAGAAACATGAGATCAGTTTTAACAGAGAAACAATTGATAATGTTATATTATGCACAGGCCGAATCCCGACTAAGATCGCTGGTGTTTCTCGTACCACTAGTTGTCGAAGTTTTTTTAAATCTTATGAAATTTTAACTTTACCGTGTTTGTATATTTTTGAAGTATGTGTTTTTATATTTTCTAACATAACCTTTTTTAAAACTAACAAACAAATTCATTCTATCAACACAAGACAGCAAAATGACCTACATGTGCCATTTTCAAGAACAAATCTTTTATACAGATCACCTACTGTGACTGGGCAAAGGCTGTTCAATAAACTTCCGGCCGACATTAAATCATGTGTTACATTGAAAGCATTCAAGCAATGTCTTAGGAAATACCTAATAAATGGCGGATTTTACTCCTTAGATGAATTTTGAAGACTTAGTTTTAGTTATATTTAAGTTAGTTAGTTTTAGCTTTAGTAATCGTCCTTGACCAATTCTATACATGTAACTGCATGTCACACAGAAAATAAAGTATTATTATTATTATTATTATTATACTGCGTTATGATTTAGAGAGATCATCGAATTCTTCATATCCCCTCATCTACCGAGATCTGTGCTTGTGTCTTGATGGCCAAAACTACCTGAGAGCTTCTCTGCCCATGTATATTGTGAGACTGATCACTCAATTACGAACTTGCAGCAAAAAAATTCTCAGATTAACCTTCAACGGCCTAGTTTACTCATTCGACACTGAAGTAACATGTTCTATTTGTAACCTACATGAAATCGAATCACTTGAACATGTCTTGTTGGTATGTCCAATTTATAGAGACATACGGGAAAATGAACTTTTTGAGCATCTGAATAATATAGAAGATATCACTCGGCTTTTGAGCTACGGAACACTTTTACAACTCAAAACCTTGGTTCACTCAGTGATGAGCATTTTGAAACTCAGGTCATTCATTATCAACGAATAAACGTAGGGATAAATATAGAAATTGTTATTCGAATTTTCCTTCCTTTTTTTTTGTACACTACTCACACTTAATTGGTTCTTGAACTCATCATCATATATGTATACAGTTTATTTTTTCACTCTCTTATTTTTAGAATTTTGAGATATAGTATTATGGAAACAGATTGATATAATTTTTCCGTTTTTCAACTCGAACTCCAACCCTTGTAATAAGAATTATAATTCTTTTGATACAATAAATGATCTATCTATCTATCTATCTATAAGTTTTGGTGGTTTTGGTGCCTACCTAATTTGGTTGTGAATAAGAATCCAATTAAAGAATCTGTATCTGTAATTGTAGACATGAATGCGCATGTTGTGCGCTGCTACAGGTTGCAGAATCAATTCTATGAATTTGTTTTAAGCCTCATCTGATCAGAGTCAGTTAATAAATGAATATACCTTGTATATTTATTTGCCAAGCAGAACTGGAAATGAGAAAAAAATGAGTAGTTTTTCCAAAAACAACTCGAAAAAATAATCTGATGAAAACCTGGTCAAATCTATCGATTTCAATTTCTAGCAATGTTTGTGTTCAAACCTGTCCTACTGAAAAACAAAGTTAGCTTTTGTAAACTATCTTTCATTGAATTAAGTGTGGGTGTAATTTTGTAAGAGTTGAATACATTTTACTGGTATTGATGAATGACATTCAACATGAATAAATTCAGTTGGTACAATTTACAATTACTTGGATGAACAAGTGTTGGGATCCTCCATAAAGCCCCCTTTGGGCCATGGCAATTTGCCCTTAATATTTGTGACAATGTAAATTGTACCAAGTAATATTATTATTGCCTTCTCTTTTTTCACTTCCACAAATTGTCATTCAAGATATGCTTCTGCTGATGATGGACTATTGATAGTCCGAAACATGTTAGACACTGATTATTCAGTTGATAAATTTGTGGAGATGACTTAGTGTGTCTTGTTTATGAATCTCTTCAATCCACTTTGAGATACTATGGACTTTTACCATAGATTAAACATGAGTATGTTGCTAGGTTTTAGGTCTTAGGTCATCAAGAATAAGCAACATTGTTATACGGTTGTTTATTCGGGTTGAGACGCGTACCTGATTTGTTTCCGATTTCGGCAGATTTGGCATTTCATACCTATGCTGGAGATATAAATACACCATATTATAGTTAAGTATTTTTGTTTTGATCAGGAAAGCCTCCAAGATTCACATACTTGCTTGATCTGTATTTCATTCGTTATTCTCGGGATGGATAACTTGTTTTTGGATAATCACGGCCAGTAATAGTTTTTTGTCTCACACAACGATATTGTTCACCTTCATTTGATTACCAAGCCAAACACAGTGGAGTATGGGAAGAAATAAATAATCGCTATTATTATTGTTGATATGCTCACTAACCTAACATTTTCCACGTCTTTTTCCTATACCGGCACTGCCGCGGTATTTGCTATTAGGGCTGACATCTGGTTCATACACAAATGAGTCACTCTGTGGTTGTATTCATATTGAAACTACAATTCAAACATCCTTGAACATTGAATAAACCTGATCTGTAAATGCAGATAGAATATTCTCACCACACGGAGTATTTGTTGCATTGCATACATATGGCACGGCATCCACGTTTCGGGTATAGTATTGAATTCGTGCCTGTATAGTATCTGATGATGCATGTCAACACAAATTGTAACAAAGTAAAGTAGTCTGAGGTCTTGCTTCTATATCTACTTACTCATATTATTATAATAAAAGGTCGCCCGCTTTCAGATAGGTCAGTATCTGTATGTAAAAAACTTCACAAACGATAAGATGTCCACAAAATTCGAAATTACAGGACATGTTTCGCTAGTACAGTAGCTTCTTGTGGTGAAAAGTTTTTTATACCAGTATTTCACCAGAAGAAGCTACTGTACTAATGTGACATGTCAAGTAATTCATTATCGTTTGTGATTTTTTTTACATTTACTATGGATTCCCATCAAGTAACTGCCAAATCGATTAAAAAAAAGACTAATATTTTCATTTATTGACAAAGAGAGAACATGTCAAAAATCTAGAGAGAAAAAATGTTTTTACATGTTGATGAAAATATTGAATGAATTATTACAGGAGATACGCAACCAGTAATTGAAGGCCAACTGAAAGAGAAGAAAGGCCGATGGAGACTTTTCAGGCGATGGAGGACACGATATTTCACTTTATCAGGGGCTCATCTGTCATGCAGAGGATCTGTAAGTAAATTGCTAGAACGAAATTCAGTTTTTGTTTCCAATTAATGTCACATCAGCGGTTCTTTGTCTTTTTTTTAATTGGATTCATAACTGAGTATATTTACTTGAACAACACAACTCGGACCTGTCATATAAACTTCACTGATCAATTGATTATATACCGAAAATAACGCATTACCTGGTATCTTAATAACCAGATATATTAGGAATCATCTATATGAATCATTGAATTCTTCAAGACAGATTTTGTTGAATGAAATAATAATTTTGAACTATATATATCAAAAATAATATACTCAAGTGAATCATCCAGTGATGTAATGCTATTTTTATTAAAATATAAGCACAATGTAGATGCTCAAAAGCCCGGGCGAAGTAGTCTTGGATCGGCGGCTTGGTCTTCGATAAAAAACGTTACCATTTAAGTTCAGTCAATGTGGCCATCAATCAAAAACTCTGTGGTCGAAGTGTGGTCCAAATGGTGGCGACCGGTCGGCAATCCTATCTTATCCTTACTTATAATTCCGAGCAGCAAGCAACTGAAGCAACATGACTTGATGTCATGAACGACAGTTTGGAGGTTGAGCAGAAGCGTTTTCAGGCGAGCAATTTGGATGAATAGTAGTTATGCCAGTGATTAATACCGCTATTACGACACTTATTTTTTCAACGTTGATTACATCGAATAACTGATTGCTCGCCTGAAAACGTTTATGTTCAATAATGCCGAGGAACTCCCAGAGTGCGTTCATAAACTTGAGTAAGGATTGCTTACTCCAAAGAGTTCATTAATTAACTCTAGCACTTTGAAGTATGCATTCACAATAGTAATGATGTACTCTGACAGTTATGTCAAGTTTTGTTCCTCGTCGTTCGTTTATGTTTTGAATCAAATCTCATCTACAGTATATACTCAATTGACAGAGATATTGTTTTTATCAAATAGAAAGGTGAATTTGCTGACAAAGTAGTAGTTATATGGAATATATTTCATTTATGGAATTCCGTATCATGATGAAAATTTTCCTCATGAAACAAAACCTGAAAAAATTGACCTATCCAAGATGCTGTCAAACCATCTAAATCAATATGGCCGACTGTAGGCACACATACTTTCGTGTCGCAATATCTTTTGTTATAGCGGTCCAAGGATAATAAATATCCACTTTTATTCAAAACAACCATTATTATTTTTCGATATATGTACCAAAGATTATACTGCTGCTACCTAAATCAACAAAAAATACTTGTGTGCCTACAGGCGGCCATTAGAAATTTGTCAAATGTCACGTGTTCTGGAATGCCTAATTATTAGTTACACTTCACATTTGTTATTTTACATACCTTCACATAAGAGATTTTGAACGGCTACTCTGAGTAACCTTCAACAATATAACCTTCAAAAATTTAATGTCCATATCATTAATGAATGAGATTTGATCTTATGGCTTAACGCAAATGTGTGATTTTAGAACAACTTCGAAGTAGCGTTATACAAATTTTACAAAACATTTTTACCAATGAACCCATTGGAGACGCAAGATTAAAAACAAATACGAAGTGTTTTCACAATACAGTCTATCAAATATTCCCATGATATCAGATTTTTTGTTTTTCTTCTAATTAATAAGAAATTTCATCTTGACAATTCAATTCATGTATGAAAAATCCCACATGTCGCGTGATTTTGTCATCATGACAGCGAAAAAAGTTTGCCCTACCTTTCCTAGCGACAATAACGGAACCTAACTTTTGAAAGCATGACAACCAGCCATAAACAATTAACAGGAAGGAAGGAATGCTCGAAGTCATCTCCACAAATGTTAATGATATTTTTAACTAAATCATGAGGGACATGTTTCGGTCTTATAAAAGACCATCTTCAGCCTAATTGAAAAGTCTACAATACAAAAATAAATGATATTGAAATGAAAGGATTACCTATTTTATGCTAGACTTACTTGGAGTTGAAAAAATTATTTTATTAAATGCTACTATTCCTTGAACTGTCAATGCCCATAGTCGAGAGTTCCAAAATTCTGAATAAACGGGTTCTCAATAAATGAAGGGCCCCGTGCCCTGAGAGCGTATACTATGTTTTATTAAAGAACATTTCATATACCCAAAATGGTATATGAAGGGTAGTGTCAAACAATTTAATATCTGACAACACCATAAACTAGCGGGTTTTTAAAAAAGGGGTTCCCCGTTCCCTTATGAAGGCGTTATTTAAAGCAAATATCAATAAAATTGATGGGGCAAGCCGCCAGCACGTGTTTTAAATCTAAACTAATTTGGTTAGAAAACACTGAAAATTATGTCAATTGAAGACATGGACAAGACGTTGACATATAGTCAATGTCAATGTCAAGGGATAAAACATGAAAATCTGACCATGAGCATAGGCATTTAACAATATCTATTACAACTATTGGAGAATTTGGGTTAAGGAGGAGGGATACATGTAGGAGAGAGTTGAGCAACCTGAAAAATCATTGACTATGAAATATCATAAAATAAGTTGAGATATAAGTTTATGATATTTCATAGTCAATGATTTTTCAGGTTGCTCAACTCTCTCCTACATGTATCCCTCCTCCTTAACCCAAATTCTCCAATAGTTGTAATAGATATTGTTAAATGCCTATGCTCATGGTCAGATTTTCATGTTTTATCCCTTGACATTGACTCTATGTCAACGTCTTGTCCATGTCTTCAATTGACATAATTTTCAGTGTTTTCTAACCAAATTAGTTTAGATTTAAAACACGTGCTGGCTGCTTGCCCCATCAATTTCATTGATATTTGCTTTAAATAACGCCTTCATAAGGGAACGGGGAACCCCTTTTTTAAAAACCCGCCAGTTTATGGTGTTGTCAGATATTAAATTGTTTGACAATACCCTTCATATACCATTTTGGGTATATGAAATGTTCTTCAATAAAACATATTATACGCTCTCAGGGCACGGGGCCCTTCATTTATTGAGAATTTTGGAACTCTCGACTATGGGCATTGACAGTTCAAGGAATAGTAGCATTTAATAAAATAATTTTTTCAACTCCAAGTAAGTCTAGCATAAAATAGGTAATCCTTTCATTTCAATATCATTTGTTTTTGTATTGTAGACTTTTCAATTAGGCTGAAGATGGTCTTTTATAAGACCGAAACATGTCCCTCATGATTTAGTTAAAAATATCATTAAAATTTGTGGAGATGACTTCGAGCATTCCTTCCTTCCTGTGAAATATTTCACTCCACTTTGAGCAATATGGACTTCTACCAAAGATTATAAACAATTAAATTGTCTTACCGAATTACACTCTAGCTTTTCTTTTTAGTCGAACTAAAGTTGGCATTTATAATCCGAATTTTGTTGCCATTAGGTAATTCAACTCCAAAAACTGCCAGAAAAAATCACTCGTCCTACGGACTCGCAATTTTTTCAGAGGCAGTTTTTTTGCGTCAAATTGCCAGGCAACAAAATTCTTATTGATACGTCAAGTTTACTTCGACAAAAAAAATCTCTCGGCAAATTGTAAGTGAAAATTGAATAAGAATCGGCAAAAAACCAAGTACGCCACTTCAAGGCGATTTAAATGATGGAACTCCACATGAATATGCCTTCCGCACCAACATTATGCAGAGACGAGGTCAGAATTACTACAGTGTAGAACTTCCGGTGAAAACACCCCACCCCAAGTTTTATTTTGATCCCTTAATTTTTCCATTTGTGCCATTCGATCGTATACGTCGAACTTTCTTAGGGACAGAAATATTTGTATTTATTTCAATGTCACCCTGTATAACCTATTTCAGAGCGGAGGAGAGTCCATCGACGTGAACCAAATCCGATCGGTGAAGGTATCAAGAGGAGCGCGAAACATCCCGAAAGCCTTCGAGATCTTCACCGAAAACCAGACGCTCATCCTGAAGCCGAAGGACGGCAAGAACGCCGAGGAGTGGGTGCAGTGTCTCAGCATTGTGGTTGCTCATTCGCACGCCAAGGAGTTGCCGGGAAAGAGCAATTCGTTGCCCGCCAGAGGGATAGGGTCTAGTCGGACGGCGATATAGGGACTTGCGTTATAAATTGAAATGCTTTTGGCGGTGAATTCAATATTTTTCAATTCTCAATCATTTAAAAAAACTACAAAAAAGTCGAAACGATCCATTCCTCAGCATCGTGTCGCTCATTCGCACGTCAAAAAGTTGCCGGGGAAGAGCAACTCTTTGACCGCCAGAATGATAGGGTCTAGTCGGACGGCGATGTGGGGACTTGCGTCATATATTAAAATGCCTTTGGTGGTGAATTCGAATTTGTTAGCAATTCTACAAAAATATGCCATTTTTCAATATTCAATCATTAAAAAAAACTACAAAAAAGACAAAACGATGGATTCCTCAGCATCGTGGTCGCTCATTCGCATGCCAAGGAGTTGCCGGGGAAGAGCAATTCGTTGCCCGCCAGAGGGATAGGGTCTAGTCGGACGGCGATATAGGGACTTGCGTCATAAATTGAAAGGCGTCTGGCGGTCAATTCGAATTTGTAAGCAAGTCTACAGAAGAAAACTTCCGAAAGATCCCATTTTACAATTTTCAATCAAAGATTTAAAAATAACTACATAAAAGGCATAACAATCCATTTCTCAGCATCGTGGTCGCTCATTCGCACGCCAAGAAGTTGCCGGGAAAGAGCAATTCGTTGCCCGCCAGCGGGATAGGGTCTAGTCGGACGGCGATATAGGGACTTGCGTCATAAATTGAAAGGCGTCTGGCGGTCAATTCGAATTCGTAAGCAAGTCTACAGAAGAAAACTTCCGAAAGATCCCATTTTACAATTTTCAATCAAAGATTTAAAAATAACTACATAAAAGGCATAACAATCCATTTCTCAGCATCGTGGTCGCTCATTCGCACGCCAAGAAGTTGCCGGGGAAGATCAATTCGTTGCCCGCCAGAGGGATAGGGTCTAGTCGGACGGCGATATAGGGACTTGCGTTCTAAATTGAAATGCGTCTGTCGGGCAATTCGAATTTGTAAGCAAGTCTACCCAAGTTACAATTTTCAATCAACGATTTTGAAATAACCACGGAAAAGGCAAAACGATGGATTCCTCACCAATCATTTAAAAAAACTACAAAAAAGGCAAAACGATGGACTCCTCAACATCGTGGTCGCTCATTCGCACGCCAAGGAGTTGCCGGGGAAGAGCAATTTTTTGTCTTCCAGAGGGATAGGGTCTAGTCGGGAGTCGTGGATTAAAATGCTTTTGGCGGAGAATTCAAATTTGTTAGCAAGTCTGCAGAAAGATCCGAAAGATCCTATTTTTCAATTTTCAATCAATCAAAAAACTACAAAAGAGGCGAAAAGATCCATTCCTCAGCATCGTGTCGCTCATTTCCACGCCAATAAGTTGTCAGAGGGATCGGGTCTAGTCCGACGGCAATGTAGATGCTTGCGTCATAAATTGAAATGCGTTTGGTGGTGAATTCAAATTGGTACGTAGCATGCCTACAGAAAACTTCCGAAAGATCCCAATTTTCAATTTCCATTTTAATTAATCATTTAAAGATAAAAAAACTATAAAGAAGGAAAAACAATCCATTCTTCGGCCTTGTGGTCGCTCATTCGCATGACAGGTAGGTGCCCTAGAAGAGAAACTCGTTGCTCGCCAGAGGGATAGGGTCTAATCGGAAGGCGATGTAGATAAGATAGATTAAAATACTTTCGGCGGTCAATTCGAATTTGTAAGGCAAAACAATCTGTTCCTCATTCGCACGCCAATAAGTTATCGGGGAAGCGCAATTCGTTGCCCGCCAGTGGGATACTAGTCGGGCGTCATAGATAAAATGCTTTTGGCGGTGAATTCAAATTTGTTAGCAAGTCAAAAAAAATCCGTAAGATCCTATTTTCCCTAGATGAGCAACTCGTTGCCCGCCAGAGGGATAGGGTCTAATCGGACAGCGATGTAGGGACTTGCGTCATAGATCAAAGTAAGTTTGGCGGGTCTATTCGAATTTGTTAGCAAGTCCATGGAAACATTCCGAACGATCCCTTCGTTCCCTTTCCTCAATCGAATCTTCAAAAAAACATATGGCATTCCAGAGCGGAGGGGAGTCCATCGACGTGGCTTTTTTCAATCAATCATTGAAAAACGTAGAAAAACATGTAGATTGTAGATGGGTCGTATAGGCTGGGAGACCTCTCGATCACTGCGACCTAGAAGATCTATTGTGATTACCCTTATCTAGTTTTGGCCCTCTAACCCTAGACTTCTGATGAAGCCTTGAATTTTCCACCTCAGCAGGGGTGAGATAGACCTGTTCTAGGTGGTTCAGCCTTTGGCGGACTAATACTACACATGAGCGAAGTATGTGTTCCGCGGTTTCGGTCGCATTGTTACAAAAATAGCAAGTTTCAGTCTCCGCCAGGCCCATCTTTTTGAGGTGGTACCTCAGAGGGCCGTGTCCTGTGAGAAAGCCTGTGATAAGTTTGAGCTCTGGTTTGCTGAGGCTGAGTAGCTTTTTGGCTCGGTTCTGCGAATGGTTGATGAACCTTTTCGCTTGTCGTTGACCTGGAGTTGCTCTCCAGTAGGAGGACTTTTCAATTTCTTCCCATTTCCTGAGTTCTCCCTTTAGGTGACATTTGCTTATCCCACAAAAAGGCTCAGGAGGACCAAAAAGTGCACATGCTGCACCTTTTTTTGCAAGGCGATCAGCTGCCTCATTTCCTTTGATTCCTTCATGCCCTGGAACCCACATAAGTGTGACTTTGTTGACCTTTCCCAGTTGCATGAGTGTTTCAAAGCAGTCCCATGTGATCTTTGATGTGAAAACAATCCATTCCATAGCGGAGGAGAGTCCAATGTTCATCGACATGGCTATCGGGTTCTCGATCGATTGGAAGTGGTTCTATAGTCTATACAGGTTGTTATTTAAGTATGTGGCCAAACATCAAGGGGCGATGTTTTCAGTGTTTCTTAAGAGGAAATGTTCAGAGATCATAGCTCCGAAAGTGTGAATTCTTGAACTTTGCCCACATACTTGAATCACCCTGTATACAGTCATAACTAAAAGGCATATGCCTTATTAAAATATTGCTGTGGAAAAAGATACAGGGCGTTGAAGTTTAGTGTTTTTTATAAAAACATGACATAAACATCATTTCTACGTAATATTGGTTATCTAGTTTAAAAGATATTTTGATCCGTTTTTGAGAAAATCGCAATTGAACCGTTCGAAGTGGAAGGAGATTTCAAATATTATTTCATTTATGAAGAATATTCTTTGGACTGTCAGATAATTGTTGCTGGTGAATAGCATTTCAAGTCAATACTTTTTCGATTGAAACGCCCTGTATCTTTTTCCATAGCAGTATTTTATTGATGCATATTTTGTCCTATCACCATATTTTGATCCAAACAATCCGCCCATATACTATGTCCCAATAGTTATGACTCACCCTGTAAATGTTTTTTGGTGTGTCAAATACGAATCTGAGGTTTTTTTACCACCTGAATAATATTTCTTTATAATTATATTCATTAATGTTGAAACACAATATTTTTATTCAAATTCACGCTCTCTTGTGTTAATATCTGAGGAAATTTGGGTTAATCAATGTAAACAGGATGACTCCGAAAAAGAAGGACCAAAGACAATATCCGCCGTGTCAGTTTGAAAAAAATCATCTACCAGTTGTTCTTTCGCGAAACACGTTTAAATATTAAAATGTACAGTCGTCTTCAGAAAACATGTCGCACATGGACGGTGTCATCTCTCTTAGTCACCGCTGCAATAAGAGCGCTCATACCGTCCAACCGCGACATATGTTCACTGAAGACGAGTGTACCTACCAATAATAGTGGAAGTGAATTTTCAGTGAAAAAATACAGGGTGTCCGGAAATTATGCGCAAAAAATCAACGGGGTGATTCTGCATGAGAAAACATGAAATTTATTTCATATATATACTCTGATCCGGAAATGCATAGTTTTCAAGATACAGTGCGTTAAATCAGTTTTTTATGAACATCTCAAATATCCTTCCACCGATTCTCTTGATATTTGGCAATGTATTCTTTGTCATGATGGGCTGATTTAGCCATAACTACATTGGAATTGTGAAATCCAGTGGCGTCCCGGGGGCACCCTACCGAATATTATTGTCAATAAAATGTGCGCCACTGATTTTTTCAAATTCTCTATCTTCATATCCTAATGATCAAATCAAAATACAACATTTTGGTCTCCTGAATTGTTTTGCTATTTCGCTGCGATTCCGTGGAAAAAAATAAATACCAATTCATTGTATAAATTGGGCCCCGCACCGCAATAGGGGGGAAATTGGCTTTCGGTGATTTTTCTAGAATTTTGGATATATCGTAGAACTCGTGATGTTGATCAGATGTCCCAATTATCAACCTTCTGAATTCAATAGTTTGGATTATACAGGGTGCTGAAGTTGACTTTTTCAAAATTTCAAATGGCCATTGTGAAGTTTCCTTTTTGAATACCAAAATCAAATCGAATACGTTTTGTTTGTCCATGTGGCCGGTGAAAATCCACTATGTGTGTCAAACAAGTATTATAAAATATTTGAAGCAAATGAATCTCCATTCTTATTCTACGTATATGGAAATGGATCACACATTTAATTTCACCCCCGTTGAGGCAACGTTTTGCACAAAGGACCCCGCACCGCGATAGGGGGGAAATTGGCTTTCGATGAATTTTCTCGAATTTTGGATATATCGTAGAACTTCGTTATGCTGATCAGATGTCTCAATTATCAACGCTCTGAATTCAATAATTTGGATTATACTTACTATGCTGAAGTTGATTTCTTCAAAATTTCGAATGACAATTGTGAACTTTTCTTTTTGAATGCCAAAACCAAATCGACTACGTTTTGTTTGTCCATGTGGCCGGTGAAAATCCACCATAGAGTTCAATGATATCTGCACGTACTCACGATATACAGAGTTGGTCCAAAAATAGCAAATGTTCCAATTATTTCCGAAAAAGTGAGCGGTTGAAATCAATTCATTTTTGGATATTTCGTAGTATACTAATATCAACATCGATTCATGATAATTGCATTTCTTGTATTAGACTACATATTATACACAAGATGTTCAAGTTTCCATGAAACCGCACCGGTCCTGATATCCATAGCCATCGAATGATTGGAATCCCGTAAAACTTGGTGAGGAAGTTAATATAATTATACAGGGTGGTTGTGAAAGTAGCAGTGGATTTTTCTCGGAGTTGACGTACTAAGGATTCCTGTCTTGTTTCTCAATTGCTCTGGAGCTTGCTATTTTTGGACCAACTCTGTATATCGTGAGTACGTGCAGATATCATTGAACTCTATGGTGGATTTTCACCGGCCACATGGACAAACAAAACGTATTCGATTCGGTTTTGGCATTCAAAAAGGAAACTTCACAATTGCCATTCGAAATTTTGAAAAAGTCAACTTCAGCATAGTAAGTATAATCCAAACTTTTGAATTTAGAGCGTTGATAATTGAGACATCTGATCAGCATCACGAAGTTCTACGATATATCCAAAATTCGAGAAAATTCATCGAAAGCCAATTTCCCCCCTATCGCGGTGCGGGGTCCTTTGTGCAAAACGTTGCCTCAACGGGGGTGAAATTAAATGTGTGATCCATGTCCATATACGTAGAATAAGAATGGAGATTCATTTGCTTCAAATATTTTATAATACATGTTTGACACACTTTGTATTATCGAAAACTACGTCTTCCTGGACCGAGAATACATAGTTCTCAATATACAGACTGTAGAGTGTGTCAAACATGTATCAAGAAATATTCGAAGAAAATGAATCTTCATACTTATTCTATGTCTATGGACATTGATCACGCGTTTATTTTCACCCCAGTTTTTGAAGAAATTTTTTGGCACAAATTTATGCGATAAATTGGTATTTATTTTTTTTCCATGGAAATGAAACAGATTACCAAAACAATTCAAGAGACCAAAATGTTGTATTTTTACTTGGTTAATATTTTATGAAGATACAGAATTGAAAAAAACAGTGGCGCACATTTTATTGGCAATAATATTCGGTAGGTTGCCCCCCGGGACGCCACTGGATTTCATATTTCCAATTGAACTATGGCTATATCAGCCCCTCATGGCAAAAAATATTGCCAAATTTAGAGAAAATCGGTGGAAGGACATTTGAGATATTCATAAAAAAGCGATCTTTTTTAAAAGTTTTAACACGCTGTATGTTGAAAACTATGCATTTCCGGACCCACGTACATATAAAATAAATTTCTCATTTCATCATGTAGAATCACCCCCTAGATTTTTTACGCATAATTTCCGGACACCCTGTATATACATTTGTCTCATAATGATTGTGAGTAATGGGGAAGTTTCCTTTATTCAATTTTTATTTCTATTTTGTCATTGTTATATGTTTATTTATTTATTCATGTTCATGGTCTAATTGTATGCGCTGTATTCGTTAATTCATTTGTTGATTGTGATTAATATTTGAACTTAATTGGAATTATTTGATTGTTAATGTTCCTCACCTAGAAGATTTTCCTTTCGTTTTAGTTAGGGCTTATTCGGATGTTCAATTATTACGAAACCCTAAAAATTATTTCAATATGGGCATTCTAAATATTGTAAAAACAGAAAGGTAATAAGTGTGAAACGAATCTGATGAACATTCATCAAAAGGAAACTTCTTCATTAATATCTTCATATTTTTACAACATATTTTCTTGAATATTTAGAAACTTTTAATATTATGAATATCGGACTGTTCGGATGTTCAATTATTACGAAACCCTAAAAATTATTTCAATATGGGCATTCTAAATATTGTAAAAACAGAAAGGTAATAAGTGTGAAACGAATCTGATGAACATTCATCAAAAGGAAACTTCCTCATTAATATCTTCATATTTTTACAACATATTTTCTTGAATATTTAGAAACTCGAATATTTATGAAGCTCATTTGGAAACACGCTGTACTTAATTAAGTCTTCTCATGGAACTTTGTATCTCATATACTTATTTATAAAAATGATCTTGTTAATATTTTGATACTCCTTTTACTTTGTATTATTTTTTTTATTTGTTTTTTTACTCAAACACATTCCAGCTTTTTTGTAAGATATATTTTATTAAAATTATTGTTAATACTTTTTGTTTTGATCAACCACCACTTCGCGTCGCCAGAAGGGCAGGGTGGGGCAGCCCCCCCCTCTCCTAGAAGTTAACGCTTACCAGTCACC